ACGCTCCGACACGCGTCTGACACGTGGTCAATATTTTAGGACATGTTGACTATCCCGACACACGATTTTGACCGTATCGGACACGGTCAAAGGGTAGAAATGTAATTTTTTTGAAATTTTTATAAAATTAAAATAAATTTAAAATAAAAAAAAATTGGGAACCGACGGTGTTGCCTGCGACTCCGGCGGAGAACAGAGCAAGAACGCCACCACCCCACCTCCATTTCCATACTCTCCGGTGACGTTGACATCGACGATGGGATCATACCATCCTTCGAGCATGAGAAAGCAAGGAGCAAACACCGGAGAGAAGGTGAAAGCGAGTAAGCAAGGAGCATGTGAACAGACAAGGAGCAAGCAAGGAGCAAGTGAAAAAATGGAAATGGATCTAGAAGTGACTCTGAACAGACACAGCAAACAAAAGACATTGAGCCGTGTGCGACTGCGTTTTCTACTTTTTATTTTTTATTTTTTTTTCTTTTTAATTTAAAATTTCTTATCTCCCTTATTTATTGCTTTCCTTATTTTTCTTTTGGACTTTTTTTAATTCTGAGTTCTATTTGGTATATTTTTCGTATAGTTTAATTTTTGATTTATTTTATAGTGTAGAATCTTTTTAATATATAATTAATTTAGCTTAATTTATATGTAAAACAATTCCTAAGTATAATGTAATTAATTTATTATGAGTTGTTATATGTATTGAATATAAATTGTATTATATTTATTAAAAATATTATTTAATATCAAAACGTGTCCTAACGTGTCGAAATTTAATATTTTTTAGAATTAACGTGTCGTCGTGTCGTGTCGTGTCGTGTCCCGTGTCGGTGTCCGTGCAACATAAGTAATGACTGCACTAAAGTTTTTTTATGAGTATTTTATTGTGGACATAATAGGTCACTTAGTGGGGGAGTTATTTGGGTTTTTTAGTGTAATGTGTGTCTTGAGTTTACATGTCTTTTCTTTTTATTACTATAGTCTTGTATTACCTATAAGAGGCTTATTTTGTGTTATGATACTATATATGAAAAAAAAACATTCCCTCTTCCAATATTGCGAGTTATATTTTGCATCTTATTTTATAACATGGATGTGCAGGAACAATGCTCGTCAGGACTAGGTGATTCGAAGGCTAGAAGCTATTGAGGTGTGGGTGACTGAAATCATCAGGAGCTTGAATGAGATGGCTAGGAGAATAAGGAGTTGTTCTCATGCCGGAGAAGACGATCCTGATGACAATGCTTCAGATGCTAACGTAAAAAGAAAGCTACAAAGTAGCAAAATATCCAAGTTCTATGGAGACGAAGAAGATACTAAAGCTTGGGGATGGCTAATCTGTTTGGAACAATTGTTCAAGATAGAAAGAATCAAAGAAGATGAGAAGTTGACAGAGGCGATAAAGGGACTTAGAGGAGGTGCATTCAGTTGGTAGAAACATTGGAGCTGGCTCAACTAGAATACAAGTTGTGGACTTTTTTGAAGAAATTTCTAAAGAGATACCAACCTGAGATATGTTTAGTAAATAAAGATTTGGAATCTGACTTTCAATAGTTAGAATCGCTAAAAAAATCTTATGATGATGAAGTCAAAGAACAAGGAAAAAGAGGTAGAGATCGAGGAGGAGGAGGAGGCTGCACCAGCATTTCTGAAACCAGAAACAGAGGCAATTTTGACAAAGCACGTAGTTGACAAGGAGGAGATCATAATTGCTAAAAAAGAGCCTACAATCGAAGGAGTAGCTGTTGAAACTCAAAGAAAGAGTATAAACCGAGGTGAAATAATGGCCATATGTCAAACACAACCACGAAATTCTGCAACTACTGAGCACCACGAAAGAACACAATAAGGGATATTAAATGAAAGTCAAAGGAATATGTACGAGGTTCGAATTGCACTAGTGGTAGAGATACCACACCCACTAGTGGTGGTGGTCGACCCACCACCTTTACTAGAGCCACCATACCTAAAAAATGTGACGTAAAGGTGGAACGCAGCTATAAACAACAAAAGTTGTGTATGCATTCAAAGGAAAATGAAGAGGAGCTAGGTCAAACAGTAGAGTTGAGAAATGGGGCCAATTTTTTGACATAGTAGGTCATCAGGCCCAAATCACTTTTAACCCGCCCCAAGCCTGAACTAGTAATCTATTCGCCTTTACATTAAAGAGAGATTGGGATTGTAGGTCGAAGACTATATGTGACCTGATTAGGCTTGAAATATTTGGTCATTATCTAGCAAGCACAATAACTTTAATAAGAGTTGAGAGGAAAATCCCTCTTAATGACTGGGCAAGCAATAGAGAATCTTACATGGGCTTTGTGAGTAATGATTCCAATGGTTCAAAACTTTCACACTTTAACCTGGCTGTTGGGTCATTATGTGCAGATCAAAAAGGTGAGAAAATGTCGATTGAGATTGGTAGAAAGTGTTCATTGTTGGTTAATTTTGAGTTTAAATATTGCAAGCTTGTCAAACTTGACACAACGATATCTCTCATAATTTTGGAGATTGATGATTATGTCATAAAAAGAAATGGTTTCGGAAACAGGTCAGTATTGTATAGATTTACTTTTGTTGATTGTGCTCATCTTAGAGTTTGAGTTGGTTATATTGAAGATGATGCATCCAGTTCTATTTTGGGAGCTTTATTGATGCAATTGTCATCCAAGGAAATGTATATAGCTGAGAAAGTGCTTGATAAAATGACTCAAAGAAGTGTCCATAAAGGATATGTTTTGGTTTATGGGCATTTCTTAGCTGAAGGTAGATATCTTTATTATATAACTGTTGCCACACATGTTCTCTTCATTCGACAGTTGTCTTCTTTTGTGGCAAGCAAATGGAATCACCCGAAGATGGGGGGCATTACTCTTGGAAAACAGTACCAAAGAGATGCTATACTTATTGCATTCTCAAAATTTTCTCATTATAGTGGTGGACTTGGTTCGTTTTTGGAGCTAATGATTGATTTTTTATTTTCTTGGTTTGGATCAAAGGAGTCATGGGATCCCGGTGGACATTATCATACTTCAAGCACATGTGGGTCTTTACAATTCAAGCAATGGGATCCCAGAATAAAGTTCTCAAGAGCTACTCTACACTTTGAGGACAAGGTGCTTAAAAAGGGGAGAGTATTGATACAATATCACCCCTTAAGGGTATTTATATAATACACAGTTGTTGCCACATCAGCTAGGAGTTTCCCAAATTACCCTGAATAGAATGCAAGGTTACCTTGAGTTAGTTATATACAGAGAAGGTAGCATGGTAGAGGCATCTTGGAATATAATTGGGATTGGAACCTTGGGAGAGAACGAGGCCTCTCGAATTGTCTCACATTATTTTTACATTTCTGAATCGTTATTTCATTTTCAAGTCGTTGTAATTTTCTTGTTTCTGAAATTGTATCTGTTTTACTGTTATTTTAATTGTCTCCTGGAGATTATATGAAAATCTGATATTATTCAGGCCAAAAGTCTTTGTTATTAGTTGATTATTTCTTATTTTGAGTAGAGATCTCTATCAAATTGATAATTGCATAATATTTAATATATGTAACTCCAAAGATAAATGTGTTTAAGAGATTATTTCAAAAGAAAAAAAAAATATTTAATACCGTACAAAGAAAAATTAAGAAAAGATAAAAGAACCTTATAAAGCAGTGGAAAAAATTCCCTAAAGTGGTATGGATTGGAAAATAGAAACTAGGATCTTAAATTTTATAAATGAAAATCTCCCATTTAATTAAGTTAAGTGCCCATTATTATTAGCATATTCTAGGGGGGAAGGATCTATTTACAAACTTTTTTTACAAATTACATTAAGTATGACCAGTCATACTTAGTGTAGTTTGTAAGAGTTTGTAAACAAAAAGTTTGTAAATATAACCTTCCCCTATTCTAGGTGGTGAACATACAGATAAATATATTTTGGAAAAAGTGTGTATCATTTTAAAGGATGTAAAGTTGTATCATTTTAAATGAGAGAAAGAGATAGATAAAAGAGGAGAGAGAGTGTACAAAAAAATATACATGTGTGGGTCTCACCTCTTTGTGAAAATGAAATGACACAAGTTCTATCATTTAAAAAGACAAACATTTTTTTTCATATATATATATATATATGGGCTTTGATTTTCTCATGTTGCATAAGAATTGAATGCTCATGTTGTGACTCAACTAGTGGTGGGTCCCACATTTATTAAAAAAAGAAAAAGAAAAGCTTTGGACGCAAATCGAAGGGTCACAACATGAGAAGTGAATTCTCATGCAAAATGAAAAAATATTTTTCCTATATATATATATATATATATATATATATATATATATATATATATATATATATATATATATATATATATATATATATATTAGTTGAGTCACAACATGAGAATATTAGTTGTGTCAAATCAAACTAATATTCTCATGTTACATGAGAATTGAATTCTCATGTTGTGACTCAACTAATATATATATATATAGTTGTGTCAAATCAAACTAATATTCTCATGTTACATGAGAATTGAATTCTCATGTTGTGACTCAACTAATATATATATATATATATAGTTGTGTCAAATCAAACTAATATTCTCATGTTACATGAGAATTGAATTCTCATGTTGTGACTCAATATATATATATATATATATATATATATATATATATATATATATATATATAGGGTTATGTTTATCTTATTTTATATGAGATAAATAACTTTCCTACACACACAAAAAGGGGTTGGGTCTCACCACTCTTTTTTCTCTCTCCTCTTACTCGTGGGTCCCACTTATACTTTTATTTCTACAACCTAAAATAATTTTTATATATATATATATATATATATATATATATATATATTTGCTTTTGGGAAATGACCCACGAAATAATGATATACAGACAACAAATAAAGACATCATAAAAAGAATAGAAGACCTTAAGCATACGCAAAATAAAGTAGGAGTGGGCCAAGTATTGTTGAGAAAATGAAGGTACCTGAGAGTCATTAGGCCCCAAAAGATAGGGAAAAGTATCTTTTCCAACCGGTTATCATTAGTGACAAGTTGAACAGTCCATTTATAAGCCCCATAGTTGTAGTTCTCAGGACCATTTAAGCATGTAGACCTTGCTTCCCTGTTCTCTGCCCATGCAAATCTTGCTTTGTCGCTAACCAATAAGCTAGTGCGTCCATAATATATAGGCTTTTGACAAGACAACATTTTCATGCCACAACCAGTTGTTTTACCACACTGCTCCACGAGACATTTGGCTGCCCTCTGGATCCCCAACAAATACCAACATGCCCCTGCTGCCTGTTTTTGTATATACAAATTCCTGAGTTAACTAGCTGTTCAATTGACACATTCTTTCTTTTATTACTTGTTCGAAATTGTCAGGCTTCATTAGATCATTCCTTAGTTAACACGTTCCACGAAAACAAAATAGTGGGATTATCTTTTGTTTTTACATATACTTCAAAAAATGTATGTTTCGTTATTTCTTTTATGATTGGAAAATCTAAATTAAGTAGTTAAGTACATATCAATTTATGTCTTGGTACATCCATACTAAAATGGAGAAGTTTTTGGGATTTAAAGAGAATTATAAAGAAAAATATGGGTTAAAATAAAATAAAAAATTACTTTTTCAATAAAACAGAGTACTGAACTCAATACCCCTACTGTATTAATGAAATTTTCCCTACTTTGATACCAGAGTTTGACCGGTTTAGGAGAGCCCATGGCTAGAAAATACCATCAATAGATTAGTTTAGCCCAATACATTATCTGGCCTGACATCATATCTAAATTCAAAACTTAAGCCAAAAAATTCATTCATGGGCTTAACCCATTATAAAACAACATAAGACTCTATCAATATGAATATCTCAACAAATATATATACACCGAATACTATTTATCTCGTGATTATGAATGTCTCATCTGTAAAATCTTTTTGTTCCATGCATATTTTGTGGAACATTCGACTACTGTGCCACTTAACAAAGCAACTAAGAAACTATAATAAATTGTAAACTAAAATAAGTTTTTGAATACAAACTTTTTAGCTAAGGTTCCATTGACGAGTGAAGAACATTATCCAACAAAATTAAATTGTAAACTAAAATAATCATTGTTGATTTTAAATGATATTTTTAGCTGTGTGTGTGGGAGTTGAAAAGAAAGGTGTTACTTACATGGGAAGCCACAAAATACGCTATCATGTTAAGGGCGATACCCCACCAAACGGTTCCAAAAATGTATCCAGAGAGATTTTGTGTGCGTCGTAGATGACAAACAGAGTGATAAATTTTGGGAAGGTATTGGAATAGAAACATAATTAAGAACATTGTCATCACCAACGAAACTGAACCTTTCTCCAACATGGAGGGGATTGCCACCCAAAGCACAATCTGAAAAAAAAAAAAATGAAATTTTGAGATTCTCTACATCTAACCGTAACTGTAAGGATCATATCTAAGTGGTTAGGTTCTTCATTTTTATTTTTTATTTTTAAAGTGTAAATTTATTACATCGATTTTAAGTGCAATGACTCTGTATGGGTCATACCTAAGCATTCTTAAATCTTTGGCTTTGTTTTTTTTTTTTTTTTTTTTTCTTTTACTACACTACTCCCTCTATGCTTTTCTTGTTTAATATTATATTCCCCTTGTAAATTTTTTTTCTCTTTTAGTAAACTTTCTTCCCTTCCTACATGTAAAAATATAATTATAAGAAAATGAAATTAAATATTTAATAATGAACAAAAGTCAGATAACATGTATAGTATAGGTATCATGTTCAGTATCAGTACGCCATAATATTCGTGACCGTGAATGAATTGCTCTAAATGAACATCATGAAAATTTGTACCGATATTCAGGGGACCACACTATGCTATAGTAAATTCTAATAAGACAAAGAATCAAATTGTTTGTATTTAACTTTGTGGCGCCCATCCTGATTTGATTTAACATACTGTAACCTTTTGTGATATTTTTTTTTTTTTTAATCTTAAAAAAGACAAAAGCAACACCAGGCAACGCATGTTATTCACATTTCACAGTTCCATCATACAATTGCCGTGTGCTACCTTCTACGTTCAAATTTTCCTTCAATTCAATGCCGTAAAAAAAAAAAAGGAAAAAGAAAACATAGTTACACATAAATTAAAAGTTTGATACAAAAAAGCCACATCTGCATTTTATTTTATTTTTGGAGTGGGGGTTCCTGCAGGAACATGTGCTATAGGCTCATGCAGTGCACGTCCTTGTTAGGTAGTAGAGTTGATTAAATGCTTTTTTTTATTCTTATTATTTGGCGGGGGACAGTACTATAGGATCCTTGATGACAACACTTTGTTTGAGCAAATAGTTGGGAATTGAGATCTTTTTGAAAGATTTCTCTATAAATTTCAAATTTCACACTTTAAATTTATTATTAAGTATAACTTTAGTCAGCATTAATAAAAATGGAAAATAATTTTCTTTAATGCAACTAAAGTAATTTAGTATATGCTGGATAAGAAAATGACAGTTGAGTCATATAATAAAGTTGTTGCAGTGTGTGTGTATGAGAACTTAGAATCCAATTTTCCCTTCAAAGGAAAGAGGAAGGTTCAAGGTAGGGAATGCAAAAGTTATTAAATTAGTACATATGGTTGAGTTGAGTAGAGATTTAAACAAAGAGACAACGTTCTTTGTTTTGTATATATGAATGAAGGATGTGCGTTCTCTCATGTGAAAATTTATCTGGAGAATTATAACTATACAAAGGCTGATCAATGATAATAAAGGAGGAGATAGAAAAAATGTTAAAATAGGTAGTTACAAAATCATAACCGTTGATTTACCTTTGTATAGTTGTGATCTTCTCACATGACTATATTATGTTTTTTTTTTTCAGATGAGAGGATCTATTTGGATTCCTACATATAATTAAGATATGTAAGAAAGGGGCTTAAGAAGAAGAGCGCACTTCATGTTTTCTGTTTTTCTTTTCTTTTCTAAAAGTTAATATTTTGGAGGTTTTCTTAATTAATTTTCCTTTATTTGGAACTGTAATATTTCCAAAAAGTTTTCCTTCGAAGATATATATGCATATATACTGAATTTAATTACCTCTAAACTATCTTCGCAATGCAATTATAAAACACCTCTGCCAAATCTTGAACTTACTAAGGCTTATGGAAAACATCACATGCAGAATATTAATGCTAGAGCCCATGAAAGTTCCATGCAAATTCATGCAGTGGCATGCACTTGTCTTCTCCTCCTTTAATGGCAAGTGTATTTAATATCTAAAATTTATCATCAAATGAAATTTTATATGAATTTAAACTTACTTTTTATTTATAGTAAAAAGATTAATCTTATTCTATAAGGCTTAATATCTTTCTTATTTTTATTAATAATCAATGAACAAAAGTTCATTAATAATAACAAATTAAAAAATAAAAGAATATTTTTTTAATGTAAATTACGAAGCAAAAGTTTGAATAAAATAAGAAAATTATTAAAAGGGAAGAAGATTCTAACCTGGGGTAGAGGAAGAATAACAAAGAAGTCGAAGAAGAAGCCCGTCCTGGACTTAAGATACCCAAGAGCAACGGAGCGTGGGCGCGTGTCTCTGAGCCCAGCGGAGCCACAGCCATCCGCCGTGACGGAGGCAGCCCCACCCAAACCAAAGGAGCGCTGTGCCATCTTGAGCCGCAGCAACATGTTCCACACGTGCAAAGCGTCCGTCATGCAACGGAGCACCGTTACGGTAACGGCGAACCACCCGTCTACGAAGAGGCACATGCAGGATTCGTTAACGGAGAGCGCGTAGAAGAAGAGTGGGTCCACAAACAACCCCGCGGCGCACACTAGCAGGAACACCCTGTTCCATTCTTGGACCCAGCTCGCTCTCGGGTCCAGAACCCGCCCCAGCGACCACCCCCGACTCCGTAAACCGCCGCACACGGCGCCGCTTGCGGCGGACACCTCGTCGTTGTCTTGTTCGTGTTCTTCGTTGTCAGGGTCCAGCTCGCTACTGCTAACGTCGTCGTCCGTGGCAGTACTATAATAAAGCATGTGCGAAGCACGTGAGGTCTCTTGCTCCGTGGTGGTGGCCATGGTGGAGAGAGAAGAAGGTTGTAAAGGAATCGTTTTTGGTTTTTGAACACTGATTTTGAGAGTGGTGAGGAATTGACATAGATAGAGAGTGAGTGTTTTGAGAAATTGGGACACTTACAAAAGAAAGGGATCTAATAATGATTGTTTTTGGGAGTTATATTTATTATTATTATTATTTTATCACTTCTTATTATTAATTTTGTTATTATTTGATCAAAATTAAATTAATTCTTATAAAATAAAATTAGGTGAGAGTTATTAATTTAATTTTAATCTAACAAGTAACAATAATAAGATTGGTGGTAAAAAATAATAAAATAATAAAATAAAATATAACATTTCTCTATGTTTTGAAGAAAGAAAAATTCTTCTTCCATAACTTACCTTATGTTTTAAAAAAAATATTTTGGAATATTTATATATCAGATTAATTGCTCTTTGAACTGTAGTTATTAATTATCCATTCTTTTTTTTTAAGAAAAATACTATAAGTGCCACTATATGTATGCATCAGCCAAGGGCCATACCCATGTGATTAAGTTATTATTCACTCTACATTAATGTACCTTTTCTTGTTTCTTTTCCTGTTTCCTAAGTTAAATGTTGACAGTTTATTGAAAAAATTCACAATTAAGATACTAAGATAGAATATTCTGACAATTAAAAAAGAGATAATTTTTTTGTTTACATCATTCAATTTAAAGAATGGATAAAGTAAGATAAGATTTGAATATCAACAAAAAGATTTTTTCTATTGTTTTTCTGGTTGGTTCTTTTGGTAATATATTTTTTTTCTTTTTGGAAATAGTTATTTTGGTAATATTATTTAGAACCAATTAGATCTTGCCATGCCATTTAATAATCATGACTTTGTTTTGTTGGAACTAAACAAGAAATATCTTGATAAGGATATTTGTTGTCTGTATAAATATTAATGGAGGCTTAAAATGGAAGGAAGAAATTAAACGACAACGTACATAATTTGAATCAATAAATTTCTGAATAATATATTTTTTAAATAAACTTTACTATTCCAACGTGCATTAATGATATAGGTTTAAGAAGTTTATTTATTTGTTATTTTTGAATATCATGACCCTAATTATACGTGAATCGAGTCTCTTGGATTTCCTCATAATTCGGGTGAGGAAAGAGACTCATACAAATACGAGATTAATCTCAAGTCAAGTAGCATGACAATTATCCAACTCTATAAATGTTCTTTCCAGGATTTGAATCTCTACTGTAGAGGTGACCTTTGAGACCAAAGATGGATAATTATCACATTACTTGACTCGAGATAATTCACACACACTCGGATTCCCTCATAATTCGGGCGAGGAAAGGGACTCATACAGGTACGAGACTAATCCCGAGTCAATTAGCATGACAATTATCCAACTCTATAAATGTTCTTTCCAGGATTTGAATCTCTAATCTAGAGATGACCTTTGAGACCAAAGATGGATAATTCTCACATCGCTTGACTCGAGATTAGTCGCACACGCACACGCACACAAACGCACACGCACACGCACACGCACGCGAACGCGAACGCACACGCACACACTCAGATATATATATATATATATTTGTGTGTATATATATATATATATATATATATATATATATATATATATATATATATATACAAGAGAAAAAATTGAGAAGGAGACAAGGAAGAGAGGAAGAGGGGAAGAGAAGAAAATTTCGAACCTTTATGTATGTATTGATCAATTGAGGGATCACAGTCCGTGTAGGACTCGTGAGATGACTGATTATATAAACGGTGTCTATTAGATTTATGATATTGAGTGAGATCCTTATCTTCCAGATACCCATTAAACAATTGCTATGCTGTCAGTGAGACTCTTTCAGAAATGACACTTATTGTCATATCCGGTTAGTAGACGTATGGTTTAGAATTACGCTAATGCAATATCTCATGTGAACGTTTTTGGAAATGCTTTTAGAAAACTTTTTGGAAAAAGTTAACTCACATTTTATAAGATGATTTCATATTTAATAAAATCAAGTCTTCAGGTGCTCCTTTGGAAGGTGGGGATTCGAAGAGTGAGAAACATAATCAGGATGGTTACCATAAAAAGCAGGATGAGCTAGTTTGATATTTTGGAGATGTATCATATATATATATATATATATATATATGGAGGTTTTGTGCTATGAGCAGTGGATGACTATATGTTTTAAGATCATGGTATGCTATAGTCATGCATATATGTACAACATGTTATGTATATATTTTGGGAGACATATCTGTATATGAGTTTATGCGGTTATATGTTTGGATTTGATATAGACAGGTAAATGTGTATGTAAGTTTTAAGTTTGATAAGAATTGGCATAGTGCCAAAAGTTGAGTAAGCATCTGTAGTTGGATTCTAAAATTATTGATATGGATATTTTGTGTATTGTATTTTCTGGATTATAGGTTTTAAAATAATAGTTAGTCCAATATACTGTTGTTATGGTGTCGGTAAATTCTGTTGAAATGGTATCTGTCATTATTTGTAGATAATGATTTGGTAATGAGATTTGATCATGAGTTTATTAAGTATGGTGCAGTAGAGTTACGTACTTTAAATTGAAAAAAAAAAGTGTGCATATTAATCTACATAATGTGAACATAAAGGAAAAAAGTTAAGTTACGTACTTTAAAGAGAACTATTGTGATATTTACATGAAGTCGTTCGCTATTTAAATCAATTAAGATGCGCATTTGTACCATGTGTTTGTTAACAAACCGGCTCGGGATGGGGTGTTACAGTTGGGGTGGTTCAAGGTTACCCGCAATAATGTTTGCCCCAAGAAATAGTTCTTCGCCCTAAAAGATCAAGCTGAGAAGCGTCTTGGGCTATGCAAGAGCTAATCAGAGGATACAAAGTGGATTCTTATGTATGACCATACGATCCATTTGTGTTTTATGAGAAGCAATGTCTTTTTTTGGATGTGCATTGGAAATTACCATGACTTGAAAAAGGGTAATCTGATATATTATTGAATTGTTTGTAAACTGTAGAAAGAGTTCTCTATTTAAAGACATTACATGACCTAACGGGCTAAGCCCAATACAAAAAATAAATAAATAAATATTATTATTTACAACACTCTCCCTCAAGCTGAGAAATAGATATTTATCATTCTCAGCTTGCTAGTAAGCTCTTGAAATCTGTCCGAAGGAAGTCTCTTGGTCAATACATCAGCTAATTGACGCCCAGTGGGAATGTATGGAGTGGTAATCAACCCACTATCAAGTTTCTCTTTGATGAAATGGCGGTCGACATCAATATATTTAGTCCGATCATGTTGAACTGGATTATGAGCTATACAAATAGCGGACTTGTTATCGCATAGCAGCTTCATAGGTCCCTCACATTTTATTTTGAGATCATCAAGTACAATTTTCAGCCACAATAACTCACAAATGCCTTGAGCCATAGCTCGAAATTCAGCCTCTACAGTTGATCTGGCAACTACATCCTGTTTCTTACTTCTCCACATCACCAAGTTACCACAAAGAAACATACAATAACCAGTGGTAGAACGTCGGTCAGTCATAGATCCAGCATAATCAGCATCAGTGTAAACTTCAGAAGAGAGATTGCCATCACGCCGGAATAATAGTCCTTTACTAAGAGTGGCTTTAAGATACTGAAGAATTTTCTCCACTGCCTGCATGTGTTTCTCCTTTGGATCGTGCATAAACTGACTGACAACACTAACAGCATAAGCTAGGTCTGGTCTAGTATGAGCCAGATATATCAATTTCCCAACTAGCCGTTGATATTGTCCTTTATCAACTGGAGGACTCTCCTCTTCATAACCTATCTTGTGATTCTGCTCAATAGGAGTATTCGAGGGTTTACACCCAAGCTTTCCTGCTTCTTTGAGAAGATCAAGAACATATTTCCTCTGACTGATAAAAATTCCTTTGTTTGAATGAGCTACCTCTATCCCTAGAAAATATCTCAGTTTCCCAAGGTCTTTAACTTCAAACTCAGAGGCTAGTCGTGTTTGCAGAATATGTCTTTCCACAAAATCATCACCTGTTATAATAATATCATCAACATATACAAGGAGCACAGAGAGCTTCCCATCTTGGGAGTGCTTAAAGAAAAGAGTGTGATCTCATTGACTTTGTTTATATCCTAAGGTCATCATAACCTTAGTAAACCTCCCAAACCAGGCACGGGGTGACTGCTTCAATCCATACAAGGCTTTTTCTTAATCTACAAACTTTATTTTCTCCGTCCATAAAATCAAAACCAGGCAGGATTTATGTGTAGACTTCTTCTTCTAACTCACCATTAAGGAAATCATTCTTCACATCAAATTGATTTATATCCCAATTGTAATGGGCAATAAGGGATAACAAGACTCTCACCGTATTCATCTTTGCAACTCGAGCAAAGGTTTCTTCATAATCAATGCCATAGGTCTGAGTGTAACCCTTGGCGACTAATCGAGCCTTATATCTCTCAAGAGTGCCATCAGAATTATACTTTAGGGCATAAACCCATTTGCACCCTACTGCTTTCTTTCCATTGGGTCTATCAATAACCTCCCATGTTTTATTTTTCTCTAACGCATTCATCTCCTCTTGCATGGCTTGAGCCTAATTCTTATCTTTCAATGCTTCATGCACTGATTTTGGGATTGAAATAGAATCTAGTGCTGAAACAAAGCTTTTGTGCTGCACAGAAAGATTAGTAGAAGAAACAAGATGGGAGATAGGGTATTGAGTACAAGATATTTTCCCTTTTCTTAAGGCAATAGGTAAGTCATCAGAAGCAGAAGCAATGGGTAAGTCATCAGAGGTATCAGAAGAAATAGGCAAATCATGAGAGGCAATAATATTAGAATCAGGAACAGGAGATTCAGGACTTACCAGTGGTTTAGATGATTGAGGTTGTTGTTGAGACAATATGGGTTGTTTCCTCCTCTGATATACCAGTTCAGGTGTCAAAATCTTTCGTATCTCAGGTGTATTTGAAGGTTCTGACACACCAGGAGCAGACACACTAGGAAGAGGTGTAGGAGTAGACAAGGACGATCTA